GCGAGTCTCGAACGGTGAGGGGAGGGTGGGGTTTGGTATGATGAGGGAGTAGTTTCGAGGGGCCTAGGGGCGTGCTGTCATAGCCTAACTGGAACTCATTATGCATCAGGCAGAGCTTTGATTAGCCGTCAAGGCCTAAATAAATAAAGTCAAAACTTTCACACATCCTGAGCTTTAAAGCTTTCAACTGTTAGCTTTTGAGGTAAAGCTGAAGAAAAGCTCTGCCTTTTTATGGCATCCTTTTTTATGGCTAAGCTTCCTTTATGGCGGAAAACCTATTCTATTTCCCCTAGATAATATTTCCCTTCTTACTGAAAATATCCTTAAATATTCCCCCTAAAATTGAACTAAACTCAATTTGCCCGCCTCCTTTTTGGGTTCTGCCTTTTCCTGTTCCTTCGTTCGTACTCCACATCCTCATCTTCGCTTCGGCTGGAGATTGAGTCTCTGGTTTTGGCGTGCCTGGAAATACATATTTAATAATTCAAAGTTGACTGCTATAAAATCTCAGCGGGTGTCCATATTTCAGGGCGGTAATTTCACATTGTTCGGTTTGCCAGCCGCAGAAGGAACAGAGGCTGCTGGCCTCCAACTGGAGGCCTGCCAAGCAGGTGGGCCCACACAAAATTCGCCTTTTCCGGGTGTATACCTGGTATGCGTAATAACACAGGGTAGATTCGTTATGTCAATAAGATTGGCTAAGGATAAGAATATACAGGACAACCATAACTACGTCAGAAATTTAGTTAGAATTTCAAAAAGCCTTAGAAATATATATTTTATACTATTTAAATAAGCAAATAACTAGAATCTAAGAAAAGTTCTTTAAACATTAAATAAATGTCTGAACTTTCATCATAAACATTATAAATGAAACAGAAAAACGTACTCTTTTGGTTTGTTCTGCAATTTATATTGTCCTTTTTTTTGTATATCTATGTAGACTTTTTTTTAAACAAACTTTCACCAATTCTCGTATCTCTCAATCCTTTTCGGTTGCACTTTCTGTTGATATACCTATTTCCTAATTACTCGCCTCCCCCCCGCCCCAAAAAAGAGGAAATGAAAAAAGTATGTTTCTTGCTGGCACTACCGGGTATCTGATGGTCTGTTTAGCCCCAGAACGACATGAAAAGCGTCCTAACTGGTTTTTGGTCCGGGTTTTCGGGATTGGCTTTGTGTTAATGTGAGAGTTTACTTAGCCCGGCGCTATTCCTGCTCTAAGGCCATTGAGCCGGGGTGCTTCCTGGGGGAAATTAACCTCTTGCCGGGGGGCAATTGTACTATGTAGAATAGAGCGAGTGCTCCGCCGTGCACTAGCTACTGCTGCTGCTGCTCTTTGGCCTCGCTTTGTCAGTCAGTCACACGCCCAGCTCCACTCGGTGTCCCTCCGCCTTTGATGATATGGATCAAACGATGTTGTTTGCAGATTAAACTACATGGTCCGACACCAGCTCCGGATCCAACCGGAGGAGAAGCCAGAGTTGGAGCCCCGAAAAGCAGTTAGCGGGAACAATCGCGTGTCGCATGCGACCAAATGACAGCACACGGCCATGCGATTCGAATCCATTCTGTGGAAAATTGCTGCAAAATGCCTGCCACTTTGCACTTTGCACTTTTGTGCACTGCCACTAACGCTGCCAGAAAACTTAAATTGAGCCCAAAACAAACATTCGGGCGGGCGAGAGCAAATAGTGCCGGGCCAGGATGGAGCCGGGTCGAAAGCGGTCTGTGCTGGCCTAGACCAGGCCATTCATTATCCGCACTTTGATTTTAAAGCCAGTCAGCAAATCACTTAAATCTCTCTTGTGCAAAAGTCGTGGCCAACTTAAATCGCATGATAAATGTTTTCTTAGGCCCCGAGCCATACCCTCACTCGGTATACCTTCTAAGCGAAGGGGTATATTGAGCTATTCCAGTGTCTCCATAGTGCCGAGAGGTACTGGGTATTTGACAATTCATTTACTCGGCCTCGGTTTGCCCTACTTTTCCGTATCTTTATCTCTATATCTGTATCTGTATCTACACATCGACTGTATATTTAATAGGATCTTTTGCATTTCTTATGTGTTTCCAAGTGTCAGCGAGCATCTAATTTGATTTATGACCGACAGAGTTATGCCCCGATAATAATATCGAAGAGAAACTTTTTCGCCTTGTTTATTCTCAGTGGGGAAGCGGGGCGAGGAAGGAAGGACTAACGATGACTAAGGCCTTTTAAATACTGTCGAAAGATGTCATTGTTTTTGGCCAGAAAAGTTCCATGTGTGTCTTCATAAGTTATGCATGCCAGACAGACCAGGCCAGGCCAGGCCAGGATGAAGAGCTCAAGGAGACTCCGGGTTCCCAGCTCCAGGCTTTTTTCCGGCCAATGTTGCCTGTCAGGGCCTAATACCTGATAATCAATTGTTAAATGCTGGCTAAATAATTGATTGTTGGTTCATCCACACTCCAGCCAATCAATCAAATTCGGGCTCTGTCGCCATCTCGGCTAATTAGCAAATTAAAAATCCCTAGTTCAGCGCCACTTTTCGTCGCGTTTTTAAAGCGCTTTCCCTTACGACCTGCAGCAGCATGAAAAACTCATTAGTAATTAAATGTTTTCCGGCGCGTCTACGCCCCGTAGTTTCTCTGGCCCCAGCTCCTGATCCTTAGTCCTTCGTCTGTCCTTGTTGTAGCTGTAGTCGCTGTAGTCGTCGTGTTCGCACAGCCAGCACTTCCGCACTTCCTGCCTGCCGCTGATTCTGGTTCCGAGTCTGCTGTTGATGCTTCACCCCTCGAATACCCCTTGCCCAACGCCCTTTGCTGTCTTTGCTGCTGGTGATGACGCACACACACAATTTCAGCAGCCCACAGTACGTATACGCACTTTTTCCCACCTGCTACCTCGCAGTGTGAGTCGGTATGTTTGTTTTCTGCTCTTGTTTGCCGCTGCCAGAGGTCATTCTGTTTACAGCCCGAGCAATTTTAATTAATTAGAATTGATCAATGATTTTTCTTTAGACTGTGCTATCTGGGCTGCAGGAGCATTGCTTGATTAAGCCTGGAAGGCTACACTTACGTAAATTGCCAGAGATAAGAATAATAACAATGGGCATAGGTAAGGGGGGTTTTCTTGTTGTGAAACTATAAATAGTTGAAGGGATTATGGGGTATTTATTGTAATTTTTAAATACTATAATTAGAAAGTAATTAAGTTTAAGTTAAACATAACAGAATTTACTTTAAAAAGGATTTGTGGAGAGGGAATAACTTCTTGTATAAGTAAGTTTATGTATTCTTCATAACAAACTCTTCATAACAACTCCCAACAAATATTATAGTTCCCTTTTGGCAAGAAGTTTTTATTAAAAAACACATTTACTCAGATACATATTAACATTGAATTTCTTATGCAAATATTCCTTATAAGATAAACATTATTACAAACTTACCCTTTTAAATTATCCTTGAAAATATAATCTTATTAAAAATAAAACAAAATTCCATAATAGGCATCCCACAGTCGCTATCATTGCCCCTATCCTTGCCTGACTTTGCGTATTAAGCCCGTAAACAAGTCCGCAAGCAATAGCTCCGGTTAAGGCAACGCCAAAGGCTACGGCCACGTCTACGGCTCCTGCAAGGACGGCAAGGACTATGAGGCTCTGGCTCCTACTGGGCTGTAGCTGTAGCCCTGAGCATGATTTGTTACTGACAGCGTCTCAGGCAGCACCAGCAACATCGCACCGAGTCGGGGCTGGGTTTGATTTATTTCTCGTTGTACAATTTATGAGTGAAGGTGAAGCAACAGCAACAGCAACAGCCAAAGGATCGGGATGCCTTGGCCAACAACCGGACCCTCGGCACTTGCAATTCATTGAGCCCGAACCCGAGTAGCGTCCTTCCAAGGGGTTATGTTCCGTAGCCCGGACTCCGGGCCACAGTGACTGCGGCTGTCAGGCAGCGCGTGTTTCAGATGCGTAAGATTCCCCAAAGATTTGCGAAATGCCGGGAGGGGGGAAAGGCGGTGAGTGAAAAAGCGGGCACAAGGACATGCTAAGTCCCAAGTACCCCGTACCCTACCGATGCACCCCTTCCCCAGTGAAACCCTCTCCTTACGCCAGATTGTGATGGATGCTCCTCTACTTTGGTGGGTTTCCTTTTGGGCTCCGAGCTCCGCAAGGGGTTTGCGGTTATGTTAAAGGGAAATGTGGGAAAGGAAAATGGGAACAAGGAGCTGGGAGTTGTTGCGTGCGGACCCATTAGCGGCTGGGAACGTCTTTTATTTCAATTACCACCACCTTATGCAAAATTCAGCAAACACTTGGCAATAAGGAGATGCGTTATGCCTTGCTCCAGCCATCCTTGCGCATCCTAGCGCGTCCTCTCAGCCTCCTTGCCGCCTGCCATTACTCATTGTGTGCCGTTGCGGCGCCTTTGAAGCTGCCGGAACTGTCGCCCTGCATTCGCCGGGTACTTATCCTTATCCCAAGCAGCTATCGTCGTGAGCTCCGAAAACTTTGTCCAAGAACTCCAACTGTAATTGCTGTCGAGGAGTGTGAATTACGCACGCTTCAAATGTTTCAATTACCCTGCCCCAGGCACACCTGTCGCCGCACCTTACCTGTCGTTACTTCTTTCCTTCCCTTCCCTTTCCATCTCTATGGGAAAATCGAAAGTGTTTTCCTTTGATGTGCGCCTTGAAGCCCTGCGCTCTCCCTATACATGGTGGCTTCAATGACCCGTCCTGACCTTATCGTTTTTCAATTACTGTTCGAAACTCAGCCCGCCAGGCTCCGCCCCCGCAATTAAGGGCCATAATCCGGGTCGCAGGATGTCAAAGTCCTCGCCCTGATATAGTAATCGACGGCTGGGAGGCGGTCCCACTCGTATCGCCATCAATCATGGGGCGGGAAAATGAAATTGCGTATACGCTATGCAGCAGGCGATTCGTCATAATTAATCTAGATATCGCCGCTCGATTATTAAGATTAAACATTTATTTACATTCGTTACGGATTCGATTCGATTCGATTGCTCGCTTCTGGTATCTCTAGGTATGCGATCGGCCATGTATATGCTACTTATGTGTATGTACTTAGCATATGAGCATATACATATTTGCTAGACGTATGCACTCTCGACCTATTTACTTAATTACGTATAAAAATACTTAGAGACTGAGCCACACAAACACAAACATAAACAAAAACTCGATTTACATATTTACAAGACAACGCGACATCGACGTCGTTAGCCTCCAGCCTCCAGCCACCATCCTTTCCAGTCAGCCAGTCATCCCATCTCCTAGTGGGCGTGTCCTGTAACGAGATGATGACTACGACTCCTGAGCTGATGACGGCATTAAAAATCACCGACTTACCCGGCTCCCGGGCTCCAGACATCGAACATAAGTTGCCGCTCGACTTTGGCCCGGCTTAAAGGGGCGCTGCTGCAAGAGCTGCTGGCGGAGATGGGGTTACTGGGGAGGCGAGCACGACCAGAAGGGCCGCCAGGAGCAGCAATGGCAGTGGTGGCAGCTCCAGCCTCGCTCCCAGCTCGTGCTGCATGGCCGCGTGCTGCTCACTCTTAATGATATGCACAAAGACGCTGTCAGAATCTGTTGGGAGCAGATGTTGGGATATAGAAAGAGGGTTAGTGGTGGCCTTAAACAGACGGGGAAAATTATATACAATTTTATTATATTGTAATTTAAAAGCTCGAAGGATGTTAATTATTCAGCAATTAACCAATAAATATGGTGCTATAAAATAATAAATTATGTCTTAATGAAGCTATTATTTATAGTTAATAAAGTTTTATCAGCGAGAAGCAAGGAAATAAATATATATTGTAAAAGGAAAGGCAACAAACTTGTATACCCTTGGAATTTGCCATAGGATCGTGGCATCAAATCAAAAATCGTTCATAACTAAACCAAAAATTCATTAATTTTAATTCGGAAAGCTTTTCTGTGCTTGTTTTCACTAGGTAAACACATCTGCATATTAAATTTTACATTTTAAGAAATTCAAATTTTTGGTCATTTTTTTAAATTTTAACGATGTAACCCCTTATCAAATTTTGAAAAAAATCGAAAAAAATATTTTTCTTCCCGACATGGCTAGGAAAGAGCGCCTGTTAAAGCTGATCAAGAATATATATACTTTATAAGGTCGAAAATGATTCCTTCACTGCATTGCAAGCTTCTGACTAAAATTATAATACCCAGCAAGGCTATAATAATTGAAAATTATATTATATTTCCCAAACTTTAATTGTCTTAAAGCAATTAAAATAAATGAATTATTGGCATATTTTTTATTAAAATGTGTATCTCAGAATTAATTGCATTGATGAAAATATATTTACTGGCCTAAGATAATCATATTTCTAATATATTATTAATTTATGTAAATGAATTTTCTAATTGTTTAAAGTTAAATTTTAACACAAGGGGAAAAATTATTTAAAATTGTATTATATTGTAATTAAAGAGCTTCAGAAATAATAAATTTTCTGATAAAAATCAGTATATTCTGAAAATTATATTATAAATGATGTTTTAATGAAGCTATTATTTATAGTTAATAAAGTTTTATCAGCGAGAAACAAAGAAATAAATCTATATTGTAAAAACTGAAGATATTATCAGATTTTGTTGACATTAATTATCTTGAAGCAATTAAAATTAATAAATTATTGAATGAGTCAGACTCATCTTTCGTAGATTTCATTAAAATGTATGACTCTGAAATAATTGCTTTAATGATAAAGATAAACATATTTCTAATCTAATATTTATTTATATAAATTAATCTTCTAATTGTTTTAAATTATTCATACACCCAAGAATCCCCTATAAATAATGAAATAAAGACCGAAACTAATTGAATTTCAACAAAGTTCGTGCCATCAAGTCATACTAAAACTTAAACAGTAAATGATGTCAACTAAAAAGGACTTAATCCTAAATGGACGAAAAAGTTTCTTGTTGCTGCTTCAAGGACTCACTCGAGTTCTCCGCGGAGCAGGTGTAGTTGCCTGAGTCCGTGTTCAGCACGCGCGATATCACCAGGTTGCTGGTCTTCATCTGCTGCTCGGACACCACCCGGATGCCGCCCCGCGCCGAGTCGCTCACCAGCTCCGTGTCCTTGTGCCAGAGCATGTGCGTGTAGGGGCCGGGCGCCTGCGGGGCGATGCACGTCAGATTGATGTCGCTGCCTTTTTGGATGAACAGCTCGCGGTTGGCGAGGATCTGGGCCTTGGATGCTGTCAAAGGAGAGCGGCGGCGTGTCGATGTCGATTAATGGGGGTGTCAACAAGTTGCCATCGGGGGTACTTTGTCTCCCCTTCTCCGGCGAGGGGGTTGTTTGATAAACTAATTTGTCAGAGTAATCCCCGCTCTTTGCGCCCTTGGGCTGGGGGTATCTAAACGGAGATGTAAACAACGGCAACATGGACTAACACGACCGCCAATCGATTGGCATTCAAAGGGAGTATTGAGGCGGGCACTTGCCTTAATTTAAGCCCAGGCGATGGCTCCACCGAAAGGGGTTCGTAACCCACCAAAGAAATTAAAAATTTTGATGAGTTTTTAATAGAGTCAGCAGCTTTCGCTGAATTAGGGTCTTTTTTCCCAACGTTTTAAGGATCATTTATGGATATGCAAGCACTAAACTTTGTGTCTGGCTGAAGTTTTACATTTGCAAAGCTAATTTTCAAAGTGTTTTCCCCAACCCAAAGGAATACTCACTCACAACCACCAGCTTGTAGGCCAGGCTGATCTTGGGCTCTGTGGACACCTGGCATTCATAGATGCCCGCATCCCTGGGCTGCACCGACACGACCTTGAGCACCCACTCGTCGGAGTTGTCAATGTGGCGCGCCAAGAATCGCTGGTCATTGGTGTAGGTCATGATGCCGATGGTGAGAATGTGGAGGTCACGTTGCCGGATCCAGGACACTGCTCGGTCACCCAGATGCCGGACGCGGCAGTGCAGTCGGGCGGTGGTGCCCAGAGCGGCAATGATTTCCCGATCTGTGGAGTTATCGAAGATGGGATCGGGACCTTCGTAGTTGTCGGGTATCAGGTTGGACAGTTCCTCGGCGGCGGCCAGGTGACCTAAGGGGGATAGATATTATATTAATAAAGTTTCTTAAAAATTTTAAAGAAAATTGTATTTTAATCGAAAAGATCCCTTATCTTGTGACTAAATTAATTCCCTTTTAAAAATATTTATACTTTGTCTTCATAAACAATTGTTTAATATTTGGACAACTGTCGAAATATATTTAATATTTTTTTGATTCGCCCAAGAAAATATCATCTAAATTAATCATTTGAAACCTAGGGTTATTTTTCACATATACTGCTATCAATTTATTATCCTAAAATAACAACTTTCTGAAGGCTAGCTGATACTTTAAACTACCGAAGACATCTTCCGATGATTAAGTTGTAAATTCAAGAGCCTAGGACATGGCCTCCTACATGTCCATTAAAGCCGCTCAAGAGGGGTGTCAGAATATCCCAACAGCTGTATCTGAACGTCAATCTAAATGTATTCAAGTGCATTCCTTGGCCGCAGGGCCCGAGGCCCAGACAGACAGATGGAAACAGGAAGCGTCAGCTAGGCAGGCATTCAGACAGATAGATAGATATACCGACAGACAGACAGATGGATAGAGGACACACCGACAGACCGACAGACAGACAGACAGATGGATGGCTGTTTGAGCGGGTTGTGTTGGACTTGGCCAACGGATTGGCTCAATCGCCTCAGCTGGCGGGGCGGGGTGGCATCAGCATTCATTTGATTAACGAGTATTTGCGCTTAATTTATGCCCGAGCTCAAGCAGGCACCCATTTCCATTCCCCTTTTATGATCCATCACCGGTTAGGGAGTGTGATTTATGTGGGTGGTGTGCCTCCATCCGATCCTGGCACCAACCAAATGGCGATGTATTAGCCAACTAATGCGCTAATAATCCATGAGTGCCTAAACAAATACAAACACAAATACAGCTGCTAAAGTGGATGGTACTGTGGATGTGGAAGTGGATAAACACATATTGATTTATAGGCTGGGATCCTTGGTGCCTACTGCGTGTGGGTGTGTGTGTATGTGTGGTTGGAGCAAATTTAGCTATCAAATGTCGGAGCAATAAAATGATGTTAAACACTTAATTGAAACTGTTGCTCCAGAGCCGCTGGGCTCGATGGTAACGCTTTGGCCAAGCCAAACACTTCACTTGAAATTGCTTTTTATGCTGGCCACAAAATAAAAAAGAAAACTCCCCACGCCTGCACACCCACACACCCACGCACACACACTCACGTTGGCAAATAGCATGTAACAACATAAAAAAATTTTTAATAAAAGTTGCGTATTTACATACAAAGTGCGGGGTGGCAAGTTGGTCGGGCGAAGAACCGCAGCAACCGCAGCTTCAGTGGCCACCTCCTCGTAACCCAGCTTTGGAGCAGTCCCACCCAAGCTGCAGTCCCCCAAGCGGCCCTAAACTGAGCTCAGGTGCCATAAATTACAAATGAGCAATTGGCGAAGCTCCTGGTCCTGGTACTGTCCCTGTCCCTGCTCCTCTTCCTGTTCCTGCTCCTGTTCCCGGTTTACACTCACAGATGTGAGAGAAATGCGAAATAGATGGCAGCATAAACAATTTCGGACAGATGCCAGAGGGAATTGCCAAATTGAGATCCTTTCAGAGATCATTTATCCATTAGAGAGAGACACAGCCATAAACACTACTCAAATATATTAACTTTGGTGCTAATCCTGGTGAAATCAACTTGAAAGGGTTGCCAGAGACTGGCCTTTAATACATAGTTAAAGTTTGGAGAGCTTATTTGGTTAAGCTTTGCAAATAACTTTATAATTAAAACACCAGTGTTAACCTGCACGAATAAGTTACCAGTTAGTTTGTTTTTATGTTGGTTTCATGTTAAAAGTTGTAAATTAAAGTTGCAAAATTCAATTGATTAGGGAAAAGTAATGAAAATGTGTGGGGTTTCAATTTAAAAATGTTGAAATCTAAATTTTATGGTCGGGGTAACTATTTATTCACTTTAAAAATAAGGCTTTAATGAGAAATTAATTTTACCTTTTTGAAATTTATATTCATACCTGATTCGACATATTAAAAGTATTAAAACTTGTACCTTACATAAGTGCTATGTTTAAGCTTTATTGATTTTTAAAGTGTTTGACAAGTTAATCTGAGCTTTATATATCATTATCATTACTCAATTTCTTCACCCTTTTACTTTTTTTGACTTTAATAACTCAACGTTATGAAAATATAATTTTTAAATGGTTACCAAAAAACAACAAAGGGTTAATCCATACACAAGAATATAAGCTCTTCTGGTTTAAAAATTTCCAGCAATTTGCTGTCCCAGCTTTTGAGCTTTTAATATATATCTCCTGCTTCTGAGAGATCAGTGTCCTTCGCATAATCCCCGCCATATCCCTCAATCTAATTGGAATTGGTCGGCGGCTCGCCACAAATGCGATTTTCAATATCCAGCGCCGGTGCTGTTTTCTCATTTATAATGCCATTTCTGATACGATTGCCCAGTCTCCTAGCGGCTTAACCCTTTGAGTGTCGCCTGATTAGATTTAAAGCCTGGGATACTCACCGAAGTATTGCCTGCTGCTGCTGGGCCGGCGGCTGTGCTTGTCGACTGTTGCGGTTAATCCCATGATCACGAGCAGCGCCATAAAGTATTCCACCAACATTTCATGCGCAATTTGTGTGGCTCTCGAATTACATATAACTGCAGCCAGGACGTGGACCAGCAGGAAGACCAGGATGAAGGCCAGGACCAGGAGACCAAGGAGAGAACGACAACAGAAAAGTAATTAAAATAAATGATGGCAATCGCGGGACTCAACTCAATTCAACTCGACGCGACTCGACACAAAAGATGGAGACGAAAGCAAAGACGAAGATGAAGGACACTCCGGCCCATCCGCACCACCCACTTTTGAGGCCACATTGTGCCGAAACAATAACTGAAAGGGATTAGGCTCAGGGCTCCGTCTTATCGGAGAGCCGGAAACCGCAGCACATTCATTTAAACTGATGACAAGACCGCAATGCGGTTGAGTTTTCAATCACCATGACGCCCACAGGACAACGGCGTGCTGGAGATTGAGATGTCCTCAGGGGTGGGAGGGGTAGATAAGAGTCGGGGGAGGGTAGAAATCGAGCTTTTGGTAATTTCTTCATTACACACTAAGCTGTCCATTCAATTGCTTGGCCAGTGGAGGAGGAGGAGTAGTAAGAGGAGCTGGGACAGTGGGAGGAGCAGACGCTCAAGTCGCAGCAGTTGCCTCGCCCGCAGGCAGCAATTTCGCTTTGGTCACGTTCCGATAATACACTTAATTATATTCGACAGGGACGGGCGGGTCAAAGGGGCAAACCGGAGGCGAAGGACGCTACGCTACCTTTTCCCTGGCAGCGAACTAGATTCGGTGGCTGTGGTCGGAGTAAATGTAGCGCGAACTGCGTGCCGCCATCTCATGCGCAACGTAACGCATTCGAGCGCCTTGCGTTTCGGTCCCTTTATCGGTATGGCTTACGTAACTGCCCTTACGTTCGACGACGTAAGGCAACAGTCATGGTCAAACGCGAGAAACCGTTCGCACAATCACCAAACGTAATGCGAAATCAGTCACTCCAATGACGCGATTCCAATACCAATTCCGATTGAGACGCCAGATATAAAGGGCACGAAAGCCAGCCGAGCAGTCTCACCCGAGTCACGATACACGACAAGTCACGGGAAGTCACGGTTTGCCTCGGTCACGTATCACGTTTCGTCGTTTCCGGTCTTTGGGCAACGCGCTCGTCGCGTGTGTGTGGCTTGAGGCGCGGAAAACAACTGAACCGAGCTGCTCTGCCAAGTCCTCCGCAAATATGCAAATCTCCGGGAGTAGCAGGAGCACTCCTACGTCCTGCGCCGGCGCAGCAGCAACATGTTGCGGCAACATTTATTGGAGCCAAATTGAATCGCAAGGCCTGGAGGCGACATTCACTGGAGGAGGAGTGCCAAGGCCCTCCTGCAATGTCCTGGGATCTCTTTAAAGTTCATCGGAGGTGCGTGGTTGGATGTGCTTATGAAATATTTACCAGGGTACGTTTGATTTGTGTCACGCCACTGCGAAGGAGCAACAATGAAATGGCAGCAAAGGCACCAGAAGGAGGAGCAGCAACAGAAGCAGCAGCAATAATAGCACCAAACAACATCAATAATAAAAGGCACAAAACTCATGCATGACAAGGCGTCTTTTTTATCCAGGCTTTTGCAATCGAAAGTGGCACAGAGACATACACATACGAGCAGCTCACACACACAAGCGCACCACGCATTGTGAGCCCATTGTGTCAAAGCGGAAACGGATATGAAGCGGCCATGGCAGCCGCTGCTGCTGTTGCTCCGCCCGATGTGGCGGCAGCAGCGGCGACGGCGACGGCGACTTATCAAAATCGATGAGGCAACATATGGTCGATTTTAATTTTCTAACATATTTCTCCTGCTGGCACACAGCACAATCACAGACACAGACACAGAGACACCGACACCGACACCAAGGCATTGACATGACACACAAGCCACGCACACTTGCCCGACTGACATCCTCACCTCGGGAAATCCCCCCTCGATGGCTGCACGGCCCCTCCCTCCCCCACAAATCCGTTTAGCATATTTTCTTTGGAAATTGAATTTCCAAGTTATTATAAATATTTCTCCAATAAATGCAATTTGAGTGGAATTTTTTTTTTTTTGTGTTGTATTCTTCGTCTCCGTCTTCGCCTTGGTCTTCGTTGTTCGTCACCTACTCTCCATCAGGATGTACTGGCAAATCAAATAGACAACACAGGACAAAAGGCGGTTTGGGTGAGCTCCTAAGTAAGCAGAGTCCCGCCCACGAAGCTCATATTATTTTACACTAACAAGCCAAACATTCCTCAGAATTTAACAAGCGGCGACATTTTTGCAGCCCCTCATCCATCACTCTTAGCCCTAAGTGAATTCTGTTCTCCGGTGGTAAGGTTGCAGAAATTATGAAAAATGTCTTTGGGGAAGGACTCCCAACACAGTTGCTGGAGATTTTTGCTGCTGAGAACGTGAAACACTTTAAGAGCAATGTCGAGTTACTTTAGATCTAAGCGCAGGAAAGGATGCTTCGAAATGTTCAAATTCAATATTTCCGCGAAATCCCCTGTTAAGATCATTTCGCGCATAACCTTTTGAGCGACAAGGCGACCCCTTACTTCTGGTAAATATTCTCCTTTTTGACAGTACACTGTAAATATAAGGAATATTAATGAAAGCAGATGGTTTTCTAGGGTAAATAAGGAATCTTAGGAATCTAGCTTGATATTATTGAAAATAGATAACAATATAAATTTATGAAAATGTATAAATTTATGATTTTAAAATAGACAGTAATTCCTTTAATGGAATCTTCCCTGTATCTCAAGTGAGGGGTTTCACCGCTTTGCGTCTTCGATTTGGACATTGATTGCATACTGAATTGATGGAAATGCTGGCAGTCTCTGGCAGTCGCTGGCAGTCTTACCTTGCCTGGCCCTGCCTTATCCCGACCACTTTGAGAAGCCCTTCCGCCGGGGAATAATGTACTCACGGGGGGATGGATGGATGGTGGCTTTTAGGAAGCATAAGCAGGGGTGAAGCGAGCGAGGACTGTCGTGTGTAAAATTGATAACTTTGTTTGTGTAAACAGCGACGCGACATATCGCCCCAATTCCCCAGCCCCAGTCCCAGTTACAGTCCCAGCCCCTTCTCCACTTCCTCTACATCCCGCATCCTGTCGTCCTAGTGGCTCCCTCTCCTCTCCTCGCCTCACCTCAGCCTCAGCGACCGACAAATTTTCCGACATGATGTATGTTTTCGGGGCGTGTGCGTGTTTATATCGCGTATACGCAGTGCAGACTCGCACAGACTCGAATTATCGGTGTCAATTTTTATGCTGCTACGTGTGCGAAATTTAACAGAGCGCCAACTGATGAGTGAACCTGTAGACACATTCCCATATCCAAGCAAGGGGCAGGAATCCAGCCCCCATTCCCAGAAGTGGGCAAAAACAAAACATAAAACGATGTCGCCCAATTTGGCATTACATGGCGATTGCCGACGAGGACGACTCGATAACGAAATGGAAACCCAGTTGGACGTGGAGGAGAGCTACAGCTGGAAACAAAAACAGCAACAGAAAAACTGGGAAACTGGGATAACTGGCAGAAACTGTGGAGGATAAAGAAAAGTCGGGCGAGAGCAAGGTGAAAGCCGGGCTAAATATGCCAAAAGTAGTTGCAGGAACAGGAAAGCCAGGACAATAAGAATCAGAATCACCAGCAGAATCAACAATGGCCCAGAGCAGAGCAGGGGGAGTGGTAACAACAAGCGTTAACAGGGAGTAACAACAGTAGCACCAGCAGGCGGGACAGACACTGACGACGACGCTTAAGTTTTGCTCAACTGTTCATCAGAATTACAAATTGTATTCGATTTCCGGCATTTGTGACGCTTGAGTTAACAGCCGAAGTAAGCAGCCAAATGGGATGGGTTCCGGATCCGGATTGGACAGTAAAGCTGGGGAGCAAAGGGGTGCGAACCAACCCCAGGCACGATTTAAATGCCATATAAAGTTTTATGCATATTGCGTACTTGTTGTTGCTGTCCCAGCGATAGTTTATAGGTCGAGACAGGAGACAGGATACAGGAGACAAGAGACGCAGACGAAGACAATGGTAGGGACAAGCCCCAAAACGCTCCATTTGAGGCCCGTTGGGTTGTCAAAACGTTTGATTCGATTAGACCGATTGATTGTATTAGCATAAAAAACGCATTGATTCGGCTTACCCAAGCACTCGCACAGATTCCTCTGGTTTCGGATAATAACGAGGTGACTTTACCCAGCAGTTTCAGCGCTCATTCCCCTCCGACAGGTTCTCAGTTTCAATTTTCTATTTTCCATTTACCATTTACCATTTTCCCCCATTTTCATTGGAAAACAAATCGCACAACGCTCCAAAGTTTTGCTCGATTCTTTGCAAATTTATTTCAGGCATCTCTCTTGTTGTTCTTCGCTGGAAACTTTTCTATCTAGGATCTTGCTTTCAGCCGGCGGAGACTTTCGTTTGATTTATAGGATTTGGCGCGGGTTTTTCGGTGAAAAGTAATATTTAAATAATATTTTTAGCGTGGGGTAAGACGAACATAACTCATGATAGCAAGCTCCCTCGATAGTTACCCATATCCGGATGCTCACTGAGGTCATCCGCCAGGCGCCTGCCTATCAGCCTCCACTTCCGATACCAATTTCGATTTCGCTTCCCTCACAAAGTTTAAGCCATCAAATAAACCCATGATTGACCAGCCATCGTGCGGCGATTCCCTTTGGGCCATTGCGGGTTTAATTATGGCCACCATAATGCGCACAAATAGCAGGTTACATTCAATTTGACATGTAATTTTATCGCCTGAAACAAAAACTTTATGTGTGTGCGCGCTGATGCTGATGGGGGAAGGGCCCGGGAGGGTGTGAAAGAGGGACGCTCTTCGAACACAATTCAAATACATATATTTTATTATTTTATTATCTACTGTTTTATAACTTTTTGCCAACAGCTCCTAAGCTGGCACTCAAACTTTCTGCACGTTTTCCGTATAAAAAGAGCACTGTGTGTGCTCTGTGGAAGCTTCCGTCAGCAGATTTGTGTCGACTCGACTCGATTCGACTCGACTGTCCCGCCTCCATTCCGCGCTGCTATCCGTTCCGATTTCAATGGCCATGGCCAGGCCAAAATCTATAGATCCTCGGCCCCGACACCCCGCGCCCCTGAAGACGCGGCACAAATGGCGCAATTGTGTGAAAGTTGAAAAACGTTTTTTTGGCGAAATGTGCGGCACTAAACAATGCCATAAAGCGTCAAACTTGTCGATACTTTTTCGCTCTGGCTGCCATCATCCAATCTCGTGCACATTGCTCTCTCCCGCCTCGTAATGTATCCGAATGTGTGCGAGTGTATCCGTATCTGAGCGAAAGTATCTCAGTGCTGTCTCTGTCAGCTTCAGTTTGCTGTTGCTGTGTTTTTCTTGTTATTCAGCTACCACTTTGATTATAACAATGGCAGTGGCAGCAAAAGCAGTATCAGCAGCAGGACATAAAGGGGAGACTAGACAATCGCTTACAATCTTGGCAGACAAAAGTTTTCAATTTGTAACTATTTGTTGTTCTGGGTTATGTAAATTGGCTCATGTCGGTCTCGCTAGGCAACTTGAGGAGGAGACTTGAAAGGCGGAGCATTGCATTCATTCCGATTCCGAATTCTAATTCGGCCCAAGCCCCTGACGGCTATCTGCTTTACACTTCATTTGCAGTGGCAGTTGTTGGGATTGTTTGGGCGAGTTGGCTTGCAGCAAACGAAAATTGTAATAAATGGCCATTAATGTGCATCTCCAAAAGGGGATTCGATGGTTCGGGGGGCAGTAAGGGGGAACCGCAAAAAGAGCTGACTAATTTCAAGCGCTCGAAATTATGAAAAGTGTTTGGGCCATCAAAATGCGAATGCAACTTTGCCCATTAATCATTTATGGGCGTTCGTTTTTCAGCCCGCCGCAACTTGGCAACTTTCAGCACCCCTAATGTCCGCCCCCTCTTCCACAGAGCAACTATATAATGGTAACACTACATAGCAAGCAAATCCCCTTTATGAACTAGAAAATATAAATTTTATAAATTATAAATTATAAATTTTTGCTTTAAGCTGCTTTAAAATTCTTTTAAATATATGCAAAGCTACACTCTTAAAACAAACAGTTTTCCTCCCTAAAAA